TCTTGTTTGTTTGAAACTTCAATACAATCGGCTTTCCCTTAATGAATTAACTATCTTGACTGCGGATTGTTTAAAACTCGAACAGCACTTGGTTTATATCTTGAACAAATATTTATCAAGGTTCACATCATATATTAAGTTGAGTAATTTGCTTCTGATAATTGCCTGAATTGAAGTTAAATCCGGGATTACTAAACTTTGAAATGTTTACTTTGCGCTTTAGATATACAGGGTTATTCACAATTGGTGTGCTGAGGTATGTCGGCCGGCTTAAAGCTAAAAGTGACTAAGTCCAAAATTTCGTATTTGTGTTTGTTTGACCAAAATAATTTAGCGAAAATTATATATTTGTCTCCAAAAACTGATAAAGTCCCCCAAAGCCACTCAAATAGGTGCACTAGAATATGTTTTTAATGACAGAGTTTCCAATAGGATTCTCATATAATTTTCGGCTCGGTTTAAAAGTGCATCTACCAAAAAAATATATTTTAGACTTGGTCACTTTTAGCTTTAAGCTCACGATATGTATCTTTGGAGAGTATGGGAACACCGGGAGAAATCCGACTTTTAGGGATTGTTTGGTGCAATTGGCAATGTTGCAGAAGACACTGATAAGACGCTGCGCCCTTATGACGCTGTATGTGGAAAATCTGTTTTCTCCAGGTCCAAAGTAGACAATTTTTGGTGTTGTTTTCATCCAACATATGAATTCCAGGTCAGATACAATGTATTTTTAGCGGTAGTTTTTATTGATAGAGAACATAAGCATGGATATTTCAATACCCAATAATTACGGACACTTCAAAACGAATATTCTTTACGGCCCCACATAAACCCGCATAAACAAATAATCGCAACTGCCGTAAATTTGCGTCATGTTTGCCCATGAAAAACACCATTTGCAAGTTTTTAAAATAAACTTCCTTGCTGGAGCCCCTTCATTACTTTTTCTTGTGTATTGTAATTTGATTGCGCGCTCAAAAATTATTTGCTGTTCGTCCATTCGCTAAATGAAATCGTTTTCTTTGATGCCATTGTCTTTTAATTTTCCGGTTGTCAAACATTTCTCGGGTATTAACGTATATGATTTCAAACATTTTATACTTAGTTTCTAATTTCCCGACCGAAGTATACAGGGGGATCTTGGAAACTACAGCAGATACAACGAAGGTGAAAAAACTGATTTATTGCAGATTTTCAAATTGATCCTAGTTTGTATTAATAATAATCTAACAAGAAAACATTAAATAGAAAAGTTGTAGAAAATTGCACTCTAACGAAAATGGCATGAGACATTTCTACAAATTAGCTGTCATTTTTGACATATGACACAAACTTTGAGTTTTTTTAAATGGTCATCATATATAATTATGCCCTTATTAAATAGAGCCTCTTATTACGATTTCGGTGATGTATCACATCGTTAGGTTTTTTCGACAATAAAGTGTCTGCGAATGATTTTTGCTTTCTCAATTCAGTTGATCGAAGCTGGCCATGGAAAATAGTATAAGGCAGGCAGCAGTGTTTCTATAGCAACAAATAATAAGTACATCTTTCAATTATTTGACATTCAAGTTAGTTAGAAATTTAAGTTAGTTTTATTGTAAAAATTGATTATTCCAATGAAGAAAAGCGCGACATGATTGAAACCTACATCGGATGTGGTAAAAATGCTGGACGAGCCTCTGAAAGGCACCTTGAATGGAAGTCGGTATCTTCAATTTCTTCGGAATGATCTGGACAAACTTGAAGAAGCTGTTGACGTTTGGAAATATTGATTGTCGGTCGGTTAGAAGCAACTTACTCGGTTTTAAAGCGCTGCAATGTTTGCAGTGATAATAATGGTGGACTTTTTTTGTAATAAAATTAATAAAATAAAATAATTATTGGTATGTTTTCATTTTAATAATAAACGCTTTACATGAGTTGCCGTCTTAACTAAAATAAAGTTATTGTCAATTTTAAGGTAGTTGTCAAAGTAAATATTGAAGAAAAAAACACAAGTTTATATGTCATATGTCAAAAATCAGAGTTAATTTGTAAAAATGTCTTTTGTCATATTATTTGGAATGGAATGGATTTGCAATTTCCTAAAACTTTTCTGTTTAATTGTTTCCGGTCAGATTAATACTGACTGAACTAGGGGTGATTTAAAAATCTGTCATCAAGTAGTTTTTTTCAAATATGTCTTGATACCTGTCAAATTTTGAAAAACAGAAATTAGTTTCCAGTAGAGCATTCAAAACTGCAATTCTTTGTTCATTTAACTGTCGTTGTATCTGCTGTAGTTTCCAAGTTTCCAAATTCATCCTGATTAAATTAGATTTTGAATTTCTCATAAGTTTTCTGACGTGTGGAAATATTTGCCACACTAGCCTGGCGTTCAGTTGTCAAACTGACAAACTGCCGGAATATAATTGATCGGTCTCCAAAAAATCGATAAAAGTTCTATGAAACTTCCGGGAAAAGCGAACAATTAGTGAATCTTAAAGTGACAGTGAATTAGAAGTGGAAATGGATGGAATCTCACTTGTAAGTTCAAGGGTGGACAAACAAAAAATAATGGAAAACGTAAACATCATTCATGATTTGGCAAGAGATTTTTTCATTATTAGATATTGACCTGAGAACTATAACTTCTCACTAGGGAAATGGAGTAAATAATGATCACTTCTCAGGTTAGCAGGAAAAAAATTGGTTATAAGCTTCTGCAAATATAATAGTTGGAAAAGCTTGTATAGGCTCTTGAGAAAATTGCCAACCATTCCCAAAATCAATTCTTTTTTCCGACCTTAAGTAAAGCCAGAATTATTGTAGTGGTATTTCGTAACGTAATGGATTTCATGTCAATGTCAATTCGATTTTAACCCCTGTCACGCCGGAATCCATTCGGAGCGGTTGGAGCCCTAATTTCGTCTGGCAGCCCTTTTCATGGATTACCACCCTGCAGCGAACTACACTACATATATCAAGCCATTGATGGCGATTCGGTGTTTTTGACAGTTATATGAGCTGATTCTGTTTGGAGCTTTTCCATTCAGTCAACATCAGTTAAGAACCATTTTAATCTTTGGTAAAACCGACTGAAATGAAATTTCAAACGGGACTATTTTTTAATTAAGGATTGGTATTTTTTCTATGGGTTATCATTGAAATACGCTTCAGTGTTGGAATAAACTGATACGGAAAAATCCAGTCCATGACTTCTGTAGGACTTGAATTGCATGGTTACATAGGAGTGACCCACGCCGCCACTCGTAATTATCACTGTGCCTCCAGTGCTGATGTCTTTTTCGTTAATTGCCATGATGCAGCTTATTGATCTGTCACCATAATAAGTATCCTAAAAAACATAAAAACCATCTTTATCATCTGGTGTTCAGACTTCTCAATCTCAGAGTTCACTCAGGAACGTTAAAAAACCTCTTCAGGCAGTCAAATGACGGAAAGGAGAATTCCTTGGGGGGCAATAAATTAATTAAAAGAGGAAAAGAAGTATGTTTCTTGAGCACGATTTATATCTGACCATTTCGGTAACAAGCAGTAAATTCAGGTTGGTAAATATTAGTTTCCGTGAACGTTGCAGGTTTTCCCTTCATATTACGTCATGTGCCTGGCAATAAGAAAAACGGACCAAGTTACTTGATGAAATTTCTTTCATTTCTCCTGAATTATTTCGTACCGAAAGGCCGTCGCGTGGTCTTGATATTAATGGAATTTAATTAAACGGTTTTTCCGGCCCCTCCCACTGGCATTGGTTTGAGGCTGGACGCACAAATCAATTAAAATTGTTCCAGTAAACCGGAAACTTACCGTTTCAGATCTGATAAAGAATGGAAAGGCCATTTTGTCAACTTGATGAAAATAAACTCGATCGCTGCGTGAGATATCCGTGCAATTTCCATCAATGATTTGATGTCCACCAGTGTTTTTCAGCTCTGCCTGGGTTAAACCCAGCGAAGCCAATAGGGCAAATACTACAGCAAATTGTATAAAAGCCATTTAGAGTTCAAGTTCGAGTGAAACGTTGAAAGGTTCAGGATGATTCATGTGGCTGATCGCGATATAAATACCCATCTTATCAAGTAATCGCTTGACTTTCAAGTTATCTGCAAGATTAAAAGTACTCAAAATCCCGAGGGGCTTGTCAAGGTTCGTTTGAGAACGCGGAAAGTTTTGAAGAAATCCACTTTGCTACTTATATAGAACGGAGAACCATATATAACAAACAAAACAAACAATACATAGGATTCCCACCGGCATCGGGTCTAGCTCCCGTCGTCATTATTTGTTTGATTTGTTAGGACAGACTGGACACTTTTGTTTGCGGGCGATCTTTGATCAAGGCTGGTGGTAGATACCTGAAACCTAGGCCTTTAGGCGATCCCCCTGGCTTTTGCCTAAAGGGTCCTAAGGCTGGTAGTACAATGGGTGCTCCAGCATTGCATTCCTTTTCCTAATTGAAATTTATGGCTTTATTTGTCTATTCAGTATGTCAGTCAGAGCCCTTTTACACGAAAATACAGTTACCCGGCACCTATTGCTTCGGACACTCGTTTAGCATAGAGCCTTATGGACCCATACAGACAGGGATACTTCTCACAATGGACCTATAAATTTGCTACTTATGAGAGATACCTAGCTGCTAGTGTCTTGCTACCCAGTCAGCTGTCTAGTATACCCAAGTAGCATCATATATCGGGTATATATTTATACAATATTGGCAGAGCATTTTTATGTTGGGTCAATATTGTCAATTATTAGCTAATCTTACTCCAATATTAGAATAGTTTTTTTGTAGTATTGCTTGAAGATTAACATGTAATATTGTATAGCAATACTATGCCAATTAAACTTTTTCGATATAATTAATAATCATAGAATATTGCCTTAGGTAATAATTATTAATAATATCCTACGGCCTGATTTATAATCAAAATTAGAGTGTTTGTTTCTTAAAGTGTTAGAGAAAAATAGAAACAAAAAACCGGTTGCAAATCTAGTTGCGTACTATATTGAAAACTGCTTGTCGGATAAACTTTAGCAATAGAACTCGGCTACTATTATCTTAGGTTAGCGTTGTGTACTTATTTGTACTTACCTAAATAGTAAATAGTTACATACTTCGGTGTTTTGTGCCCGATTTTGTGCAATAATCTGTAACTCAACATGTAAGTACATATTATAATTACATAAATATAGTGATAGATACTTTTTAACCTACTCTTTTTAATATAATAAGTTCACAACTATTTACATGCCCTCATGTATATACATCAGGGCATGTATTTGTTGTACAGTTGCTTATAATCCATACAAGCCGTACGTTTATAAAACTCTGAACTTTATTCGAGTTTTGCTAATTTTGTAAGGTAAAATGAGGTACCACCGTACCAATGCCGGGTCTTATTTGAACTGC